CGCCCATCTATATAACAATATTTGCCTTACATCTCTCTTCAGCCCAGCTGTCTATAATATCCTAATCTACATATTACCCAGATGGGCCCACCCATCTCCATGAATGATCATATTCCCCCGGCCCATCCGTCAACATCAAGGATATATATATCATTGGCATACATGGGCCCACCCATCTCCATCGGAAATAATATGCATCCCGGCCCATCCGTCATCATCGAGAATATACACAACATGGGCCCATGATCCGCTGGCCCGTCTCATATGGGATATTATGGAGGTCGGGTGGCCCGTATAATACGGAATTTGTCACTGAAGGGGCTCTCAGCTGAATCCCAAGTTTAAGGAGGTGAGGCAAACTTACAGTCCAAAGATTAAAGGGGTGGAGGTAAAGCGTAGCGCATGAAGGGTTCTAATATTGGCTTGTCCTGTAGGAATGGAGCCATGACTAAGGCATGCTTCCATAGGTACCCTACAAATGCATCACTACTCCAACAACCCATTGTCTTGACATTCTCGAATGGCACACCACAAAGTAGATATTCCAAAGTACTGCCGATACAGAGACTGTGTGCCTTCAATGAGCTGATCTTGAGTTTGTTGCTGGCAGATTGAATACATTTAACGAATTCTCCCCTTGTAAGAGGTCGAAGGCCCATGTGATGTTGCCAGCTAAACAGAGGCACGTTGATGGAAGGGTGGTTGATAGCCAAATGATTTGACAAGGCTGCTTGAGGGTCAGACAGCCCTGACTGCACAGCCAATAGATGTCCTCGCCGACGCGAGAGGTTTTGGTGCATGGCAAATGAAAAACAGCAACATGAAAGCCATGACAATCAACGTTGTATTGCAAATCACTGACTTTGACATGGCATTGAGGATCAAAGGCTCGTAGTGAGGGAACTGTGAATTCCCCGATGCGTGCGATAGTGTAGAATGATGTGGTAAGGCATGCATAAACGGCTGCGTGTAAGGGAGTTGTCAGATCCAATGTTGAACAAATAGCGATCAAAATGTCGGTCATAAAAGGTGCCCACTTAGCTCGTTTGGAAGTGTCTGGTTCCAAACATTTCCCGCTGCTGAGGGCCAACGTACATTGGTCATGGTTCGCGAGCCAGGGCAGACCATGCAACAAGTGCCATGCCCGAACTGCGTAGAAGTGATTCTCGAGGCTCTTCCCAGAATACAAACCCGAGCATGCAGCAATGAAGGCTAAAATCAGGATGGGGGATGCAGGAGTGCATTGCTCCTCTGGTATGTCACGAGCATCACAAAAGACATGGAATATTAGAAGTCCAGAACCATATGTCTCTCAAGTAGTGGCAGCGTGAGAATGCGCAAGGACAACAATGATCCGATTGATGTCGCTGTCAGATATGTTTACCAAGGATCCGGTGTTGTCAAGACATGAACGAGCCTGGAGAGGACGCCATAAATGGAGATGGTCGCATGCAAGACAATGCGGACGTAAAGACGATAGGTTGGGGGTTAGAGTAGCATTGTAAGGACGGGGCTGTGCAGTGGTGCTCACTATTGTGAGGGGAGTGTTGGTTGCAAACCGAGACACACTAATCACACCAGGTATCACGGAATTCGAGGAGCTGCTCTCCCCAATCCCAGATGTCTGCGGGCTCTGTGGACTCATCAACGAAGGAGCGTTGATCCTGGCATGACGACGGGGAAGTCCCCGTGGAGAGATCTGCCTCATAGATAAACTTGTGGAGGTCACCTGGGAGATCGATTGGCAGAAGGAGGAGATGATGGGGGGGAAGATGCCCCGAGAGGGCCCATCTGCAGGGTTAGCACTGCTGGGCACATAACAGAGATGGAAGGATGTACCGTGCCCCTGGGATTCAAGGAGGCTGTGGATTCGACAAAAGACGAGGTTGGTTGCCCTATTGCGACTCCTCCCATTCTTCCAACCATTGATGACACCCTGGTTGTCACAGAATACACGGAAATGCGAGGGGGAATCATGTTTCCTGCTATTGAGGACTGCATGGACAAGGAGCTTGAACCCGACACACTCGGCCCATCCAATATCGCATTGGCCATCAAGATATTGCCAGTTTGGGTGAAGTGTCCATGCACGCCAATACCCATGGATAACAACTGCGATTCCAACAGAGGTGCTCGCATCTGAGAAGGCATGAATGTCGAGGAGGGGAGGTGGTTGAGTGATGGGCCATCCGATGAAAGGGAGACTAAGTTTCGCACTCCACCATTTGAGATCCTTGTTGAGGTGTCGAACGGGATGGTGTGGCACAAATGGACTACTACTGCAAACTCCGAGCATGGTCTCCAATGTGGTGAGATAAGCACGTCCTGCTGGGATGACCAAGCAAGTGTGCAAGAGTTTCCCATAAAGTCTCTGTATGTCCCAAAGGACATGCATTTCCCTTGATCTCCACTCGGTGATAGCTGCCTGGTATTTCTCCTTCTTCGCCACTGACAACTGTACTGTGAGACAAATGATGCTCCACAAGAAGCCTAGGAAGAGTGTCTCGAAGGAAAATGCAGTGTCCTTCATTGGCTCTCAAGGATAGCCGAAGGGCAAAGAGGCACAAGTGATGTCCGCGAAGGAGAAGCAGAAGTTAGAGTCAAGGATGGAACGAGGCGAGGATGATGAGAGGTCTTGCAGCGGGAGATGGCAATCTTCGGCGTAAACGTCAAATGACTCGTTGTCAAAAACTTCACCCTTGTACCAAATATGTCCCCCCGTTTTTTGTGGACCTGAGCGAGCCAATAACAAGTGTGTTGACGCACGATAGGCATTGTAACTGGTGAGGTATTCACAACAAATGCAAAAAAATAAGTGATCATCCACCCACTTCATAAGAGGCCCAAGGCCCATGGCACGCAAGAGATCAAGGCCTGCATCAGCGACATGACCGTACACCCCAGCCGAGGGTCCCATGCCAAAGGAAATACAGGTATCCACGCAAAAGTCTCCTCCAGGAAGTTGAACAACTGCAGCAGGCCATTGAGAATGGTGTAAGGGCACCATGTGATATGCCTCTGCAATGTCACGAGTTGCTGCTTGCGATCCAGGAGGGAGAGAGCAAATGATGGTCCATACAGTATCAAATGTCCCCCAAGTACATGGGAAATCATCCAAGTTAACGCTGGCATTGATAGACAGATTCGGATGAGCCAATGAAGGCACCAACGGAAAAGAGAAATTCTGAATGACATGAAATCTTCCCGGTTTCCTGGTCTTGGGTATAATTGATATAGGGGAGCATTGGAAAGGACCGAGGAGAGATAGTAACTCGTTATATGTAAATGGACCGATGTACCAGCCAGTAGCAAGCTCACATGCAAGTATGGTGTCGAAGGCATCATGAAACACAAGGAGTGAAGAACTATTAGGGGGGATTTGTGTATGAACAATGTGAGGGAAGTTGAGATTAAAACCAAACCGCAAACTATATGGAAGATTCAGGTATCTGACGAGAAGATTGTGCATGCGAAGTTGAGACTCCCAAACGGTAGGATCATATGGTGAGATCAGATGAAGTTGCCTGTGCGCGAGAGCAGTTTTGGGCACCATGAGTGGTGGCAAGGCAGCCCAAACAAACGTGTCGGTCGTTGTGGGACTGACTGATACAACGGGCTCATTGCCAGTCGACACACAAAGGTTTGTCGGAACCTTGCACAAGAAGCTGCTTGTTGACTCGTGTCGCAACAGTTGGGAATGCACCATCCCACAAGTGTTCGATGGTGCATTCAATGAAGCTGTGCTTGTTCCGTCCAAGGCACACGGTGCACACGGCTGGGAAATGAGTACCCTGTGTGCCATCCCAAAAAACTGCACGCAAATCCACTGGACGAGTGGGTTGAGAGTTGGAATTCTTCGGAGATGCTGCGGGAGTCTGATTGCGCGGTGTAGAAACAACAATACTGAGAGGAACAAAGAAATGCTCCTGACTGTATCTAAAAAGTTGTAGGTCGTGCATTGCCTAGTCTGCGATACTTGAGATGGCAAGTGCATTCGACCCTAAAGGGGAAGCAGGTGCAGCGGAGATCTAGAGGTACGCGCTTCAGCGAAGCGCGAGAAAGCGCAGGTGCGCGCAAGGTATGAAGGCGCGGGAACGCGCGCGCGTATTAGCGCGAAGCGCGGGAAAGCGCGCGCGTGTAAGCGGAAATAAGAGAGACTAAACTTATGTGAAGATATAAGCAAGATAAAGGATGTGAGATGTGTTGTGCTAATGAATAGATTTCTACTGCGACTTTCTAAGTAGTAAGTACTAGGTAAAGTTGGGTGAAAAGTAAGGTAAATAATAGTATGTACTGCTGGCGCTTATATAGCGCGCCTAAGCGCGCTCATGCGGAGCCGAAGCGCTACCGAGTAGGTATGTAAAAATATATATGAGTGAGAAACTATGATAAAAATAAAGGTGGAACTATGCTAATAAAGGAAATGGAAATATACGCACTAGGGAGCTTGGTGGACAGTGGATGGATGCATCTGGATGGCTGGCGCTATAGGGCGCGCAAGCGCGGGAACGCGCGCGCGCGTATACATCGTGAAGCGCGGGAATGGTGCGCGCATGGCGCGCGTTGCGCGGGAAAGCTGCGCGTCATATAGGAATCACTGTGGATGGTACACAGAGTGATGCTGCGAGTTGGTGCTGTATACTCCCTAGTGTAAAGCGCCATATCACACTATGAGATGCACGAGTCTCTACAGCGGGGATTTGGAATGACGTGAACGCTTCGAACGTTGAGTGTAATGAGTCTCACTTGGAGCAGCTCGAATGTTAGAGCTAGGATTTAGCTGCAATAACAGTGAATGCGAAGGCAAACAAAGGCAAAATGCAAAATGCAAACACATAACAGATAACGCAAAATGCAAAGGCAGATCGCAGCATGTTGAATTGGCAATTGTGCAAATGAACAAAGTTCAAGTTCGATTAAGGAAGCAATGAAAGGTAAATTAGAGAGTGATTTGAAACCGTGAGTGTAAGACGTACCTGGGTGTTGTGTTCACGATGACGAGATTCATGAAGTACACGATCAAAGAGTCGCACAAGGATCACATCGCTGATAATGGAAAGATCCCAAGCACCAGTGCCTAAAGCAACTGCATTGTGCCAGGCCTGGCGCTGTTCTTCCTGGTAAATCATCAATGCCCGTTTGGCCACAAGATCGTTGGAATTCCAGTATCTGTGAGTGACAATGGCACCCCAAAACTGCAAGAGCATTAGAACTCGTTGTTGAGGCCAATCCCACTCTTCGAGAGCTGCGACGATGTGTGGAACCACCTGAGCAAAATCCGCTGGGGATAAAAACCGATCTGGTACTACCCTTTTGGATGGTTTAGAGGCAGCTGCGCTGATCCATACAGTAGAACCATCCTGTTCTGAAGGGATCAAGCCCTCGTCATCCCTAGTGGTTTGGGAAGAAAGAGTCTCCTCCAGACCGTTGTTGGTCCAGTAATAGAACTCTACGAACTGTCCTTTATCTATTTTCCATAAGGCGAAGTCGGACACGAACGCCTCATCCTCATTGGTGTCAGGGTGAGGGCGCATAAGAATGTCCGTGTGCTTGAATCTGTTCTTCTTCCATTCATCCGCTCGAGCTGTGTCCTCCTCCAGCTGACGAGCTTATTGGAGGCGAATAGCTTCTTCTTTGGCTAAATGATGTTGCTCGGCACGAAGATGTTCGTCTTCAGCGAGCTGCTGTCGCCATTGTATGCGCAAATCTTCATTAGTGCTGACCCACACTAACCGAAGAGATTCGGTCGCCTGAGCATCGTCAACCATAACCGACAGAAAAGGTGTAAAAGGATTAATACAAGTTCGCGCGGGTCTGGAACAAACAGACACTCTCAGTCGTGCGCGTGAAGGCAAATGTCTGAGTCCATAGCTAATTAAATAGACTAAGTGCTCTTGTGCGAACAAATAAGTATCTGAGACTTGAAACAAAGGATATAGGGCGCTGGCCCATGAGATCAATAGATTCTGTAAGTACAATAGAAAAGTAAATAACAAGAGTGGACAATAGAAACATACGAGTTTGCCGAAACATAATGAACAAGACAAATGATGCGCCTCAACTGCAAGCGTGCGCTTGCTATTCCAACACTCCCCCTCAAGCTGCGCATAGTCCAAGTTGAGACATGAAGTGCTTGACTTTCAGTGATGGTAGCGCTTTTGTGACCGTGTCGGCAATCATGTCGACAGTGGGACAGAAAATGAGTTGAAGCTTTCCTTCCTCAATTACCCAACGAATGAAATGGAATCTAATGTCAATGTGTTTCGTACGAGCATGATACTGATGGTCTTTGGTCAAAGTGATTGCTGATTGATTGTCCGAGAAGAGAGTGATAGGCTCGGTGAATGGTTCGAAAAGTTGTCCAATGAAAGAACGCAGCCATAGGGCTTCCTTTGTGGCATGTATCGCTGTGATATACTCACTTTTGGTGGTTGATAGTGATACTATCTCCTGGCGTTTCAACAACCATGATACCGCTCCTCCGTCTATCAGGAATGCATACCCTGATACAGCCCTTCTGTCTTCTCCCATACTTCCATCAGCGTCTGCGTATCCAGTCAACACATTCTCTACCCCTCCGTAAGTTAGCTTTAAGTCCGTTGTTCCCAAAAGGTAGTGGTATATGTGACACATGGCGTCCCAATGCGGTTGTCCGGGGTTGCTCGAAAAATGAGATACCATAGTAACTGCATAAGAAATGTCAGGACAGATACCGAGGGAGGCGTACATGAGCGATCCAACAGCCTCGCGATATGGGACATGGTGCATGGCAGCATGTTCAGCGCCGGTGGATGGTGATTGGCCAGAGTGGAGCTTTGTACTAGGCTCCATAGGGTTTGAGACTGGTTTCAGCTCCTCGAAGTTGAAGCAGCGTATGATTGAGTCGAGATATGCCTTCTGTGATAAGGAAAGTGTGTGATTGTCACGGTTGCGGGTGACTTCAATGCCCAGCAGCCAATGGAGCTCTCCTAAGTCCGTAATCTCCACACAGGTGCGTATCTTGTCTTTCAGCTTCATGATGAGGTCCATTGAAGAGGCTGCAATAGTGCAGTCATCAACATGGACTACGACGATAATGAGTTCGTCAGGTGAAGAGCGTGAGAAAAACACAGCTTGGTCAACATCGCATCGTGTAAGTCCAATCCTATCCACCAATATCTCCACCAACTTCTGATACCATCTCCTTCCACTCTGCTTTAGTCCATACAAGGTCTTCTGCAGGTGACATACGTGTTTCAGGTGGTCCGTCGACTTGAAACCGGGAGGCTGGCGCATGTGGACAACTTCTTTGTCGGTGAGTTCTCCATTTAGATATGCACCCTTGATATCGATCTGATGATTTTCCATGTCCAGTCGAGCTGCAAGTGCGAGGACGGTTCTGATGGATGCAAGGGTGGCAACAGGTGCATATGTGTCGAAATAATCTATCCCTGGGACTTGGGAATAACCTTGAGCTACTAGGCGTGCTTTGTATCGCACAATGTTTCCTGCTGCGTCCTTTTTAGCACGGAAAACCCACTTTGAACCTACAATGTTGGCACCAGGAGGTGGGTCAACAAGCTTCCATGTTCCGGCAGTCTGCAGTGTGGCTAACTCTTCACGGATTCCAGCTTCCCATTGGGGCCAGTCTGGACGGTGCTTCGCCTCAGCTAGAGTGGTAGGTTCCAAAGCTTCAGCATCAGCCATGAACTCACTCAGTGCTAACGCCAATTCTGCAAGGTCGTCCTCTGCTTCCAAAATCGCCATCAACTTCTCAGCAGCGGCCTCTGCTCCGGCCAGGTCTCCTTCAGCAACTGCTGGTGTGGCCAGCTGGATGCCTTTGGGGACAGGGTTTCTGTTGGTGATGATGTCGAGGACCCGTTGGCTTGGTTTTCGGACTCGCTTGGCAACCATGTCAAGCGCTGGCGAAGTTGACAGGATGGGGATTCTGGATGGGGTGACAGTCAGTGGGATGTTTGGGGCTGTTACTGGTGGGATAGGGCCAGGAGGTGAGTGTTCAGGCGACGATATCATTGCGTTTGGACTCTGATCTTCTTCCTCCCCCTTGCAATGTATCGTCGTTACCTCCGCAGGATCCCAGTAAGCATTCCTTTCGACAGTAACCGTGCGTCTGGATGGCCAATAGACATGGCATCTGTTCTCACTGGCCTCATCAATGCCGATCCAACGTCCTTCATCGACACAGTCAGACAGCTTGTCTCCATGGCCTCTCTTTACCCAAACCTTGGAGCCCCAGGCACGGAGGCGACTAAGGTTTGGTTTCTTCCCCATTGCTGCCTCGAGTGGAGTACTGCCGTTGAGAGCTTTTGTCGGGGTGCTATTCTTCAGCCAGACGGCATGTCTGACTGCCTCTCCCCAGAGGGTGCATGGAAGGCCGCTGTCGTGGAGCATGGCTCTAACTTTCTCTAGTAGTGTGCGGTTTAGTCGCTCGGCAACGCCATTGTGCTCGGGCATGTCATGAACAGTCAGCTTCTGCGTGGTGCCGGCGGCCTGGAGGTGCGCAATGAAAGCCTTCCCTAAGTATTCTCCCCCTCAGTCAGAATGGAGGGTTTTGATGTGGGCGCTGTGCTGATTCTCGCACCAGGCCTCAAAACTCTTGTATGCGTCAAGAGCCTCGCTCTTTTGACGCAAGAGATGGAGGTACGTCAGACTGGTCTTATCATCCGTGAAACTGACATAATAATGTCGTCCTCCTAGAGTCAGTATGGGGGCAGGTCTCCACAGATCAGTGTGGACTTCCTGTCCGAACTCAGTAGCTCTTTCTCCCTGTCGTGCCTTAGCGATTGGCTTACGTGTGGCTTTCACATAGACACATGTTTCACAAAAGGTAGGTTCGCCAGAGGATAAATTGACTTTTATTCCAGATATGAGTCCATTCTCTGCGAGGTGTCGAGCAACCGCGGGAGCAATGTGTCCCATGCGCTTGTGGAGTTCCATCACTGTGATGGTCTCTTCAACGGAGTCTGCACTATCAAGGTTGGCTTTGTGGACGACACGATACAGACCCCGTTCAGTTCTGGGGATTTGTCCAATGACATTCTCCATAGGGTCATTGATAATGCACCTGCCATCAGTGAAAATGACAGTATAACCGAGCTCATCGAGTCGTCCTATGGACACTAGGGTGTATCCGACTTCCGGCGAGAACAATACTTCGGTAAGTCTGAGCTTGGACATGTCAACACCATTTGGGATCTCTATTACCATTTCTCCTATGCCGGTCGCACTGAAACATTGTTTATTGGCAGCAGCGAAAGGTTTTGGTGGGATAGTGGAAAGAGTTTCGAACTTTTCTCAGTATGGGGAAATATGGTGTGTGGATCCGGAATCGTATAACTCAACGACTGGACCATCAATGTGTCCACTACTGACTTCAGCAGCAAGCTCTATGAAGGAATCTGTGTCGCTTCCACTGTTGGGAGCTGCTGATACAGTGTCCCAGTCGGGTAAGTCATTCTTGTCTATCTCCGAGAACCAGTCTTCATTGTTGACAACAAAGGCTGTTCTGTCATCAGCGTCCTCATCTGATGACTCTGTGGAGAGAAGGTCAGGGATATAGGATTCGTCATCTGACAGGCAATCGACAGCAAACACTCCGTCATCCTCGGAGTCGTCATCTGCTGCTGCGTTCGCAGATCCTCTGGTTCCCGTGTTGCTGCTTGGTGTTTTCTCAGGCTCGGGACAATGAGCTTTAAAATGTTCCCAGGAACCGCAATTCCAGCATGGTGGACGTGGTCTGTTGTTACCTCCACCCCTTCCTCCTCGAAAGGAACTTCTGTTACCTCCTCTACCCCCTCGGCTGCGGGAAGACATATCTATGGCTGCCATAGCCTCATTTCCTCCATTGTGGCGAGTGGTGGTTCCCCCACGCAAGGGACGACTATCCTTGCGGCCGCGATGTTCAGATTCTTCGATAATCAAAGAGATTAGAATGTCGGGGTCAATGGTTTGGGTAGGGCTATAGAGTCAGGCGGTGGCAAGCTGCCCAGATGCGAAACTGGCTAGATGGTTTGGGAGGGATTGGATGATTGTGGACCAGTAATCTTTCTCTTCGATCTGGACTCCTACTGCTGACAGCTCGTCACATTTAGTGCGAAGTTCGTCGAGGAACGTGCGCACATCTCCCCCTCCTGGACACTTGGACTCCAAAAACTTAGTGCGAAGGTCGGTCTGCGCATATGCACCCTTCTCGGTGTATTCGCGCACGATTTCCTTCCACATTGCGACAACGTCGGTCAAGTTCCGAACACGTAACGCAGTAGAGTCGGGGATACGCTGGGTAAGCAAGTGTTTCGCGAGGTTCTCGTGTTTCTGCCACTGAGCGAGTGCAACAGGGTCCGGAGGGGATACAGTAGTCGTTCCTCCAGACGTCATGGGTGATCCGACGGGCTTTGGGTTTGTCCCGTCGAATTGCTTCCATAGTTCTTTGGCTTCAATGGCTACTTGGAAGCGCAAAGAGAATATCGCCCAGTTGGTGCCCTTGATGTCGAGTTTGGGCACATTGGTTGGCAGAGTATCCATAGTGACTGGCACAGTAGTAGACATGGTGAATATACAGCTTTTTCGCAGGAAAACATGAGACGTA